CACGCGGACGTCGACGTGCGTCCCGCACACAAGTATTTTGTTGAAATGATGTGTTTTTTGAAAGAAATGTTTAAGGTTCAGCAGCCACCCCCCGATCTTTTGCCACTTCTTGAGGAGCTGGCGACCATCACTGGTCTGTGAAGGTGGTTGATGAGTTTGATATATGTATGTGCACAATAGCCGTTCAGGCTTTTGTTTTAACCTTTTATTGTATTTGTGATGTGTTTGTCACCTAAGCCAAAAAACAGGCAATAAAGAAAAAAAAAAGTGGCGCAATCGGCTAGCGCGTTCGGCTGTTAACCTTAACGCTGGAGGTTCGAGCCCTCCCGGAGGCGAGGCTAAGGCTTCACTTTTTATTTTCCCAGGTACCGATGAATGGACTCTCCAACAGCGGCAGGGCTGACGTTTCGGCCAAATTTTACAGGTTGTCACCCGCCTCCGTGGCGCAATCGGCTAGCGCGTTCGGCTGTTAACCGGAAGGCTGGAGGTTCGAGCCCTCCCGGAGGATTCCGAGTCAGAACATCCAACGCGTCAGAACATCCATCGAGTCAAAACATCCATTCGTGGATGTTTTGTCTCGGTGGACGTTCTGACTCGATGGATGTGTTGGCTCGGATGGATGTTCTGACTCGATGGATGTGTTGACCCCATGGATGTTTAGACTCGGATGGATGTTCTAACTCGGTGGATGTTTTGAGTCGATGGATGTTTTGACTCGGATGGCTGTGATGAATAATTTGACGAGTTGAATGTTCTATCGTTTTTTGCATGAGGAGAGAGCTGTTGTGTAAACGACTTTTGACGTTACGGTAAGCAAGGACCGTTTGCATACGCTTCTAGATAAAATTTAATTATTTATGAAGGACAAAATTGAGTTCGGTATTTGACGGAAGTGGATAGGATATGTTCTTATTTCTTTACTATTATTTGAGCTGTGAACTGCCTTTATGATTTTATTATCTTATTGAGACCTTGTCAGTTATTTAGGCTATTCAATAAACGTGTTTTTATATGTATTATGTATGTATTATATGTATTTTGTGATTTCGATTTCTTCAATTTTCCTCTACCAGTGTTAGTTACTTTTTAGTTTATTTTTATTTTATTTTTTTGCAAGATCATTGCTGTTGTTTTTCTTGGTCCCTGCTTGAACCACTCATGGTCTGTTGTTTTTTGTTAATAAATAAATAAAAAAAATATTAAAGTTAATAACGTCAGGGGTATGTAAACGGACTTAAATCATTTTTTTTGTTTTATCACGTATTAGGGGGTGTACGCTTTCAGTGACCCTGTGTCTTTCTTGTAGCATAACGGAGCGTAAAATAAGAAAGCATTTTGGTGGCCACTTCGTAATAAAATCAGTTAGGACACGACGGCGCAGTGGCAATGGCTCTCGAAAGCGGCGATCGGTAATGTTACGTGATCACGCGACGTGGTTTCAAATTGTCATTTACTTTCATTAGCGGTAAAATAAGCTGCTTTACCGTCTAACCGCTCATTCACACTGGAAGCGGATCCGCGTTCGCAAAGGGGTTGCGAACGCGGTTGTATGAAGATCCAGTACAATTGCACGCGCACTCGATGACATCAAGTGCGCGTGCAATTGTACTGGGTCTTTATACAACCGCGTTCGCAACCCCTTTGCGAACGCGGATCCGCTTCCAGTGTGAATGAGCGGTTAGTGGCGTTTTATTTTCTGTCGTTTGACCCGTGCAGCTCGAGAGCACGCTACTCTGCGATCCGTGGCAGCTACGTGACCCACAGACAATGGACAAGGCCTTTTGAATCCATATAAAAATGATAGCTATTTAGCTCGCCTTTGAAGAAACCAGTGTGATAGACATTCTTTAATTTTAGCTTGGTGTATGTGAATGCGTTCCTAAGAGGTTCGGAAAGAAAAGTGTATTTTTTCCAGGCAATGTGGGGTAACAAATTTTAGCAATTCATTCAAAAGCAACGTGATAAAAATCATCCAAATGAAAAGAACGATATTATTATTCACACGAAAAATTACTGCACTCTGAAGCTTGTGATGGTGAAACATTTTTCAAAACAGAATGGCTCTGTTTTAAACGTATTTTTCTTCGCCGCATTAATTAAAAAAAACTTTCTTTTTTCTTTGCATATGGGTGGGAGCAGCAGAGCGCGCGATGGGCTGGCTTCGAGTCTGCACGATTGCTCGAGGGACCAAAATACTGTTGTCGGTGTATTATGCAGCATAAGCCCTTCAAAAAAATTAATTACACCTCGCCAGTCGATTGCTTCCATTTTTGTGTTAAGCCTCTGAATTGTTTCAAGACGCTCTTGTCCCAGATGTTTGCCGTGATCAGTAACGTTAGTCCGAAAGAATCGTAGCTTTAGTTCGTGGTTTTTTAAAGTTAGTCTCACTCTCGGACAAAGCACTCTACATGGATTTGCTCAATTGTATATAAATAGTAGTTTTTAAATTACGGAAGTACTATTGGAACACATTTTAGTTTTGTTTTTTCATGTATTACAACTTTTTAGGTATTTGTACCCTGTCGTAGTGTCTCTACACTCATTTTTGTCACGATTACTTCTACCAGACACAACGTAGTGCATATCGTCCAGATAAAGTCATTTGGTTGAATAAGACACCAAGACATCGTGAGGCATTCAAAGAGTTTTATTCAAGGAAACTGACCCATGTGTGCTGTTCAGTTCATTCTACGGAAGAACTACAAGGATTGTAATTCTGTCCAGATAGTTAAGGACATCCTGAAACGTCGGGACTGCAGATGACAAATAGCCAAATATACTCAGTGTCAAAAATAAAACACGAACACGAGGGACCCTACATCCAGGACACTGACCAAGGTAATTGATCAGGTGTATGACCGAAACTGGCACTTGGCAAAAATCGCAGTCTCGAGCCGGAAAAAATTCATATATGTTGTTTTCTTTTCTTTTCAATTCAAATTATAGTTTTGAATCAGATGGATGCTTTGACTCTGATGGATGTTCTTACTCAATGGATGTTTTGACTCAGATGGATGTTTCGACTCTGATGGATGTTCTGACTCGGTGGATGTTTAGACTCGATGGATGTTTAGGCTCGGATGGATGTTCTGACTCGATGGATGTTTTGACTCGATGGATGTTTCGACTCGGATGGATGTCTTGACTCGTTGGATGTTTTGACTCTGGTGTCACGTGACCTGTTGGATGTTTTGACTCGATGGATGTTCTGACCCAATGGATGTTCTGGCCATAAGCGCTCCCGGAGGCGAGGCTAAGGCTTCACTTTTTATTTTCCCAGGTACCGATGAATGACTCTCCAACAGCGGCAGGACTGACGTTTCGGCCAAATTTTATGGGTTGTCACCCGCCTCTGTGGCGCCATCGGCTAGCGCGTTCGGCTGTTAACCGGAAGGCTGAAGGTTCGAGCCCTCCCGGAGGCGAGGCCAAGGCTTCACTTTTTATTTTCCCAGGTACCGATGAATGACTCTCCAACAGCGGCAGGACTGACGTTTCGGCCAAATTTTGTAGGTTGTCACCCGCCTCCGTGGCGCAATCGGCTAGCGCGTTCGACTGTTAACCGGAATGCTGGAGGTTCGAGCCCTCCCGGAGGCGAGGCTAAGGCTTTACTTTTTATTTTCCCAGGTACCAATGAATGACTCTCCAACGGCGTCTGGAATGACGTTTTGGGCAGACTTTACACGTTGTCACCACGAAAGGAGATCTAAATTGTCACCCGCCTCCGTGGCGTAATCGGCTAGTGCGTTCGGCGTGTATATATACATAGAGGCGTGACGTTGTTACTACGCGGTGCGTATCCCGGCCGGGGAGCAAAGAATTGAGTGTTCACACGGGGAATATCTTCCCCCTGTGAACACCCAATTAATACAAGCCTTTTTCTTTCCGTCTAAATTTAATAAAAATGTAAAGTAGGGTAGGTGTTTTTTTAGCCCTAGAACCAAGAGTGGCTTCGGCGGCCATTAGAAAAGAGAAAATGGAGTAATTTGTTAACTAATTAGGTAAACTGTTTCAATGAAGCATGATGCAAGGGTTGATATGGACTAACTTCGTTAAAAAATACACTACCGTCGCTTTTAAACGAGCTCGAAGGTGAAAATATTGACATTACTAAAAAAATCAAAGGGTATGCTACGTGACATGCTATTGGAAAACAGTGATAACGACTTTTCTTGTAGATAATCCATGCAATAAGGCGTAGTACCTTGTTTTTTGCTTGTCCTGTTTGAAATGTCTCTGCTGCTTTGCTACACGGGGTAGGGCCTCGTCAAGCTGCAAGCCATGCAGCTTTTTGCCCTATCTCGCTCCTTTGTATATAAAGGAAAACAAATTATTATTATTACTATTAAGTAGAGGAAGCATCTGGAAATTGATTGTGGGCGTACATATTTTATGCAAATTATGCTCTACGAGTTTTATTAAAATCCATTCACCAGGCGAGTCTGTTCCTTGACGCAACTCCCTTTAACACGAACGTGCGAGGAATGCAGGTTCCAAGCTTTCCATACGAATTATATACAATACTTTACTCCTCTGCTACAGTGTCATGGTGTATATATCACCTGAGTTTCGAAGAAAAATGCTAAAAATCGACCATTTAACAAATCTTTCGAGCGTAAAATGATAGGATTTGCAAAAGTTCTAGGAAATTCTAGCGCCTCTTTGTTGTTATCTTTCGTTCTTTCACTGCGCTGTTTGTTAGTGCTTCTCGTTTGTTTGCGATTCTTTCGAGGGCCATAATTTCAACGTATTTCGGTGCTTTGCACGATGGCTTTTAACCTTTACTCCTGTAAAACCCCATATTTGGGTTAGCAGTATCATAAATTAATAGATAAAAACGTAAATATATATTAAAAAAGACAATAAATATCGAATTAAAAAAAAATGGGCCCTGTTTTAGTAAATTAACATTCGGAGTCGCTCAAACGACGAACACAATCTCGTTCCCCGAAACCGACGATGCACCAGGTATGAATGTATTATCATCTTCTTATCAGCGCTCATCATCTCAGCAGGGGCGGAACGCAGGAGGCGAACTTCCCGATGACGTTTCCGGGCGGCGAGTAGTTTGCCACCACGAGGATCTTGTGCGTGGCGCCCCGCGCCTGGGCGCAGCCCAGGTGCGTCGTCTCCTTCCAGATGAGTTGCGTGAAGTGGCCCGTGATATCGATGTCCGGCTCGCCACCGTCCCAGTGGTACTCCGAGATCTCGCTGTACCAGGACTCGACCGCTTCGCGACCTGCGCTTCGGGGATGGCCAAATGGTCTTCCATCAGGAGTCACTGCTTGCACTCTTATATATTCGTATTTTCCCGTAAATGAAGCTGATTCACCTAGGTTTAGCGAGAGCGCTACGTTTGTATTTTTGAGGAAACTTGTATGCGCAAACGCGAAGGACGAACACATTTGAGCGGACAAGGACAAGCGCCTGTCCTTATCCACTCCTTCGTGATCGTCCCCTATGTTTGCGCCTATACAAGTTCACTCAGTGCCATGAACCAACTAGCCTGACATCGAGTCTTGCTAAACTACGTTTGTATTTTCGTTGCGTTTTAAAAACTACTTTTTAACGAAACCCCCGTCTATACCCCCCAAAAATACCTATCCGTCCGTCCGTTTTATTTTCTGGATTCTTCTGTCAGGCAAAACACTTCACGGCTCAAGACCACTGTAGCATCAGAAAAATAGGGCCCATTTTCCCGACAATCACTTGTATTTCTGCCGTTACTTTATAGTTAATTTTACAAAATACGAGCTTGATCATGCTGACAAACACTGCATGGTACAAAGAATGTGTGACAGGCGTTCCAATGAAGAAAAGGGCGTTGCGGGCGACCGCTTCCTCGCGCGCCATGGTAAAGGTTTCGTTTTTGCCTGATGCGACCACCAGTTCTGGGTAGCTAAGTCGGCAAAGCACTTTCATTTCATTTCGTTTATTCAATACCCGCAGCGCCTTTCGGCATTACAGCGAGAGGGATACACACACACACAAAAAAAAAAGGAAAGTCGTTTACAGTTTCCTGTAATGCCGAAGTAGAGCCCAGCTCTTGAGGAGGAGGAGGGGAGGGTACGGAGGGGAGGGTATGCCCCTCCTCTCCCTCCCCTCCCATTTAGCGAAAACTTTTTGCACAATTTCCCGCTAAATTTAGCGGCAAAAAGGCCCCGCTAAATTTAGCGGAAAAAATTGATCGCCAAATTTAGCGGGAAAATTTTTCCGATAAATTTAGCGGGGAAATTTTCCCGCTAAATTTAGTGGGGAATTTTTTCCGTTGAAATTAGCGGGAAAATTTTCCCGCTAAATTTATTCGGGAGTGTTTTCCGCTAAATTTAGCGGAGTCTTTTTGCCGCTAAACTTAGCAGGTAAATATTTCCGCTAAATTTAACGAGGAAATGTTTCCACCAAATTTAACGGGGAAATTTTTTCGCTAAGTTTAGCGGGGAAATTGTTTTGCTAAATATAGCTGGAAAATTTTCAGTTAAACTTAAAGGGTAAATTTTTCTGCTATATTTAGCGTAGAAAATTTTCCGCTAAATTTATCGAAGAAAGCTTTCCGCTAAATTTCGTGCGGAAATTTTCCCATAATGCAACGCGCGGTTACGCCGACGGTGACGACGGCGACGGCAACGCCGTTCAAGCCGGAAACGGGCACCTAAGAGCTGCGCTCTAAAATAACATAAATTAACAGGTAATAATCTTCAATATTGAAAACCTCGCGAGATCAAAAGTATTCCGACACATTTCGCGGCATCCAAAGCACCGTTTAAATTTCGCGTCACTCAACGCACTTCATCACACTTCGCGACATTGATAACAAATAAACGATACACGAAGCCCTATCGCTCTGAGTACACCAGGGTCTTCAGCACGTATACATTAAAATAATTATACTCTACCGTGTTAAATCTTCTGCCCAGGATTTATCTTTTACGTACTGATATCAATTAAGTGAGCATACCGTTTCTAAAGCAGTATAAAAGCCATCGTGTGATAACACTCAGATAACATTAGAATTTAATTTGTTACACTGGCTCACTGTTTTTGGACAAAAAATGAACTCTTAAAAAGTCGCAGTCTTGCACCTATATTCACGCACTTTATGAATATGATCCATACGCGCGGATAGCTAATCTGGGTGAAACATGTAGGTTTCACGTAGAATTCCAGTCTGGGAGTGAAATTTACAGCAAAAAAACTTTAAACGAAGCCTTGCTTTGCGGCCCCGTTCCAGTGTACCCCATTTCAACATTTGTCTTGAGCGCGTTGCAGTAAATTTTCTATCTTTTAAAGATTTTCCTAAAACATACCTAGCCGCTGGGTTTTGTACCTTTTACAATTTATTCTTATCTAGACCAGTTGTTCGGTCACACACACAGTGCAGGCACATTCTAATATATATGTATAACGTTCGTTTTATATAATAGTTCCCGCGTAACCTGTAGAAAGGTGCAAGTGTTCAGGCGTAAGAAATCTAAAGGTTTGAAAGACCTACATGCCGATGCCAGCTCAACGAGGGTCTGAGGTAAACACCTAAATACTTGTAATTTGAAACCGTTTTTAAACGAGTGTTGTTAATACCGAAACAAGAACTGGCGGTTGTCTGCTTTCTAGAAGTCACGCACACGGTTTTATCGGTTCAACCTCATCTGTCATTTTTCGCACCGATCGCTTTGATCGCTTTGAGTGATGAAATTGTCACTATCACATGTTACTTCTCTATATAATTCGCAATCGTCTGAGAAAATTCGTATGCATAAAGTGGCGGTCTCATTAATATCGTTTACATAAATTAGAAAGGATATAGGTCCTAAAACCGACCCCTTTAGGACTTCTGATGCTACTTGTGCAATTCTTGATTTTCTTCCACATAGAACATACTGATATCTTTCGTGAAAGTACTCGGATATTCATAATATAACTTGATAATTGATATTATATTGCAGTAACTTCTCTAACTATAACTTATGAGCTACCACATCACACGATTTACTGAAGTCCAAGAAAACAGATTCGACAGTTTTACGGCTATCCATTGCCTCAGACAAATCGTGAGTAAACTCGGTTAACTACGTGACGCAGGATAACCCACTCCGGAAACCATGTTGTTTGGGATTCAACAATGAGCGAGTATCCGTGTGTTTAACAATAGACGGGTACAAGATGTGTTCTAGAATTTCACGAGAAACGGAAGTCAATGAAATCGGAAGGTAATTTAAGACGTTGTTACGAGGCCCAGATTTATTGACTGATACGACAAAGACTATCTTCAAATCATCTGGCAGAGAGAAATCATTCAGTGACTTTTCAAAAATTATTTTCAGATTTTAGCAATGCTGTCGGCAGGCGACCAGTGCCAGCAGCCTTTGAAACATTTAAGCACTTTAATAACACTGTTATCTCATTTATATGCGGAGGGCAAGCTCGTCTGCTTCTTGCGCAGGGGGTAGCGGTGACGTCAGAACGCCGAGCCCTGATTGGCTGATCGCGACCTCCTATATGAGCGTCGTCTGCTCCTTTGCAACGTCGTCTGCTCCCAACGTCGTCTGCGTCTGTCTTACCTTTCCTGCGACTTTCGGAAGTGCAGAGGCCAGATTCATGAAACGATCCTACGCCAAAACTGTGCGTAAGACAAAATTTAAGAACAAATTCGTATTCACGAAACGAAATTTTCGTAAGCTTTGCGCAGGTTACGACGAAATCCTACGACAGCTCCGAAGCTGTCTTACGCACTTCTTGCGATCAAATCAGCATGGCCGACAGCGTCGCGGTCGCGACGACCCACGGACGTTTATTTTTCTACTTGCGCTTCTGACGCGTCCCGACTTCAAGCAGCAAGAAAAAAGTAAAAAGTACTTGAAACAGACTACGACAAACAGGAACGCTGGATCCACAAATACCCGGGAAAAGCTCCAACGGCCACGATTTCACCGAACGCGACCAAACGAGCCTGGCAGTTAGGCCTAGCAGGCACTCCGCGACTCGGCGACCGTCTGCCCATGATCGGCTGGTGTGCTGACTGAAATATGCCCGCGCGACCCTTGTGAACCCTTCCCGTATTATACATTGATCGCTGACCTCAATTTTAGATTAAGAGGTCATTTTCTTTCTCTTGTTATCTCCTTGTTTCCCGAGGCCACGGTGACTCTCGCCGGTGAAAAAGCGGTGAATCTCCGACAGACGCAGGAAACGTAAAACAGCCATCGCTTTGACTAGCAGACGTAAAGCAGACGACGTTAACTGCACCAACCTGCCGACGCCGTTAAAGAGTGAGGGGTCTCGCCGCACAGGAATGGAGGGAAAAAGTATTTGGGAGGGAACTTGCGGACACTAAAGGCCTGTCCAAACAGGATACTACAAAACTCACGACTCCGGCAAATCGTGCCGCGCTCTGCCGCGATCCGCTTCCGGCCGTCGGAGGGAAATTTCCCTCCGTCAATTCTTCCCGGGGGGAAACTTCCCTCCGTCAAATCACCCCCTCGCTTCCTCCACGGTGGCCTTGCTCTGCTCATCACGTGGGTCCGGAGAGCCACTCACACGCTCTGTTGGCTGTCGGTCAATCGCTCAAGGCCTCCGCTCACAATACGGAACGGCGTCGGACGCCATCACGACGAAAGTGAATCTCGACAAAGAAAGCAGATCCGAGGCGGGCGAAACGCACCCTTCGACGCAGGAATGTCCCAAATCCACCCGAAGCCGGACCCCCTTGGCCTTCGAGCCGAGGCGACAACGGTACGCGAGGTCGTTGGCGTGGTGAGCCAGATACAGGTGGCGTGTGACGTCAGGGAAAAGTGGAGGAGGCGAGGAAAGCAGTCGTGATCGTGAAAATTTTCACGACTCCTGCAAAAACTTTTACGACTCCGACAAATCGTAAAAATAAAAGCGTCCGCTTCGTTTTTCACGATTTGTCGGAGTCGTGCGTTTTGTAGTGTCCTGTTTGGACACCCCTTAACACGCTCACTAACACGCTCACCTCTCGGTTCCAAGCAAACAAACCTCGACGCCCCGGGACACCCCGCCAGTGAGTCCTTTGACTTCTCTCCTTGATGCGCGTCTGCTAGTTAGACAAAAACAACGTACCGCTCGAGTTATTTCGTCTGCCCTCTCTTAAAGGCGAAGTCGAGCTCGCTCCGAAAGTCGCAGGAAAGGTAAGACAACCGCATACGACGTTGCGAGCAGACGACGTTGCAAAGGAGCAGACGACGCTGGGATAGGGGGTCGCCGCCAGCCAATCAGGGCTCGGCGTTCTGACGTCACCGCTACTTCCTTTCTCATGCGCAGAAGACGAAAATGAGCCCACTTGCGAGGCGTATTGTCACGAATTAAGGTGACGAGAAGGCGAACAATGACCTGAAAATAAAGCGTTTAATGGGCGAACTTGTGCCAACCAACAATAAGTAACAAAAGAGCGTCGAGGCAGCAGAAAAGCGGGCGGCGGTTCGGCGGCACTACAGAGCGCTAGCGAGACTGACTCGACAAGGTCGCGGGTAGCTGCTTATCTACCGTGCGTCACTATCTCGAAAGTTCGGCAAAGAAGGCTCGACCGTCGCGCGCTCGGGGCGAGGATGAAGTGGCACTGTCGAGAATAACAAAGGAGAGGGAAATGTAAGCAGTGAGAGAGTGCAGGCGAGCTGGTAATCAATCGTCATCTTGTAAACCCTGAGATGGGGAACGATAAAAAAACGGACGAACACAACAAAATCTCAACGCAGCTGCGTTGAGATTTTGTTGTGTTCGTCCGTTTTTTTATCGTTCCCCATCTCAGGGTTTACAAGATGACGAGAGGGAAAGTTACGTCTGGTGCGAGAATGACCGGGAATCTTCTAGAAGACCGTGACCAAGCGTTGCTTTCTCGGCTCTGCGGGCGGCACTATTTAACAATCTATTTCATCCAGAATACAGCTGGCGGTGGTCGTATTTGTAAGACCCTAAAAAACACAAAAGTGAAGTAAGAGTTAAAACATTCTTCTTTTTGAGAAGCGTCATTGATTACAACGTCATCTTTCACGAGAGACGGAATAGATACATTATCTTTTTTTAATTTATTTTTACGTATTTCCCAAGTTCTCGAGGAAATAAGTTCAAATCCTGTCGGGAATTTGAAGTCATTTTATATAGTTTCTTATTGCCGTAAACACTATGGCCTTTGTTGCCGCTCTGTCATTAAACACCTCGCAACGCTTTGTTTACCCGCGCTAACCATTAAGGCTGGCTGTTTACAGTCAAACGGTACTAAACTGAACAAAAATCGACCGATAAAACACATGCTGTTTTAAAAGAGCGGTTGCGTATTTGAGAAAACACACCTAAATCATCTTCGTTTGGCGTCCGAGATCTCAAATTGCATTTCTTTTTTAAAATTTGGTTTTTGGAATTTTTTGTTCTCGCGGATCTTTAGCGCCCATCAGAGCTATGCACGCGCGCTTTCGTTATTTTGTAAAAAAATGGACAGAAAAAGACGTCACGACTGGTGCCAGTGCGGAGGAACACACCCGGCAAGCTTCAGATTGCGCGCGCGGCCCGCGAGCCACACGCGCTTGGAGGCCGAAAGATCATCTTATGACGACACGACTGGTCGGAGGTTTTTCGTGTTTTCTCGCGTTTAGTTGCATCTTTGGGGAAAACGAACGTGATATTCACACTCACCAAATAAAACCAGGCTGCAGTCAGCGTCTAATTTTTTTAAAGAAATTTCAGCTTCCCTTTAATTAAGGTATCGTTACAGCTACCTCGAAAAAACAAATTCACGCGTTACAGGTTACAGCAAAATAACGAGCTATAGTATCGCGATTCTACCGAAGTCCGCTTATATGCATATGCTATATTGTAGGCTAGCTGACCCGTTATCTGGTGTTTCGTGTCGCTGGACCACTTGACGTAGATGTTCTCGCCGTGGTCGGTGCCGGGACTGTGCTCGAAGCGGTCTTCTGTCGCCAATTTGGTCGCCCACGCCTTGGCCATCGCATTCAACTGCAACGAGGTTGCGGTCTCGGTTAGGATGATCCTAATTTGACAAGTTCTCCGACAGTTGCGACGCTTTCCGCACTGAGTCCTTTGCGGAGCGCATGTTCCGTCTGCTTCTTTTGCGGGTGTTGGGGTGACGTCAGTACGCCGAACTCTAAGTGGCTCTGACTGAAGGATAGTGGGTATAGACCTCAAAGCAAGCTACCTTGAGGTCTACCCCCTGTTCTTCAATCAGAGCCAATCAGAGCTCGGCGTACTGACGTCACCCCAACCCCTGCAAAAGAAGCAGACGAACTTGCTATCCGCATACTCCGTGTCACCTCAGGTCGGACCGCAGCCCACGCTACGATCAGACAAAACCAATGAAGCGAGCCGAAAGTGCGTCGTCACGACCTTCGTCGCTTTTGCGTGCGTTTGCTACCAGTGATTAAATTAATCACGCACAATAAATGCGCCGCGATCCCGCGTTTTTTAGTGCGCATTAACCGTCCCATGAAGCGAACTGGCGTTATCAGCTTTTGAAGCCGCCAAAAACGGCACCTAAATTCCAGTCCCATGGAGTGGAACCTGTAGTCTGTAGCAGCGAAACAACGGATAAAGTTCCCTTAATTTCGACGCGTCATATTAGATGCGTCGTCACGGAAGCCGCCGGGGCCACTCAAGGTCAAAACGGACGCGCTTCAGAAAAAAAATATAACATAAAGAAAAGTGCAGCAACGCAAATGCATGGTCACTGAAGCCGTGGAGCCGAGGGGGGGGGGAGGGGCTGCGCCTGCGCAGTGAGGGAGCGCGATGTCACCGCCGGGGCGCAGTGTGAAAAAGGAAGACGTGCCCGCTGCTTGTAGGAATGCGCTACGTGTAGGAAAGCTTTTGCATTCTTACGCGTAAGCAATCTTAAGTGTCCTTTCGAATTTTTTTGCTTCTGTTTGTGATCGGTTTAGCGGGTGAGAGCAAACCCGTAAAGAAAACGATCGCCGTAATGATGTACATTTGGCGCTGCTTGATTGAGTTGATTGGATCGCAGCGTCCGCTTCGGTCGTACTTAAATTGAAGCGGAGTATATAGTACTAGTTTCTTTTAAATAATTCGCGAGGTGATATTTTATTAATGCGTGTATTGCTTTCAAATGTTTTCCTAGGTATTGTTTCTCCGAGTGCCACTATGTAAAATGTTAGTCTATGCATTTTTACCCGCTTGAAGATTGTCATCCTCACTGTATGCCTACTCTATACAGCTGCCCCCCCCCCCCCCCCCCCCCCCTCTCTTAGGTGATACCGAACTCCGGGGCACCCTTGGGGAAACACGAATAAATGAATGCAACGATCCTCCGCTGTATAACGTACTTGACGATTAGGCATATTGTACGAAGTAGCTGCAATGTCGGAGATACCGATACCTCGGACATTATGACCGTGATTTCAGAAGAGTTGCCGCTTATAATTCCGCGTTCGGAGTGGTTTAGGAGGAGCCTCCGTAACGGTGCAGTAAATGATTATTTAAGGAACGAAGAACGTGGCATAATATTTTAAAATTTAAACTCAAATATGTTCGTTCTTTCGGTATACTAACGAGGGCTTTCAAGACCGAGAAGCTGCTAACAGTATCTTGACGGAGTCCTGGATTGCGTTATATGGGCAGCAGCGAGAACATTTTGAACGTTCTAAGAAAGTTATGCGTTCTAACACAAAAAAGATTAACAAATCACATTAGAATTGAGTGCATAAAATATGAACGGGGATGTGCATCTATACATAACAATCTTTCATAAGTTATACACTATTAGAACGCAAAAACGAAAAAAACAAAACAAAAAACATTTGGCATCGGGAATGAGATATGAACGAAGATGAACCTTCAAAACAATAACAATATCGCTCCTATTCAGGTGATATCTTCACGAACCTTTCTTCGTGATTGTCTCTTTAGAGTTGTTTTCGTCTCGCAATCTTATTGACTATGTAGCGTAGTTGCTCGGGGTTCGCCACTCCCGGGTTTATGTATTCAACAAAATGATCAAAGGACAAAACCAGAACTTGAAAGGAACGTAACCCTAGTCTACACTCTAAAACAAAAGGGAGTAGTACTTCCTCCCTTAAAGGAGGAACTCGCGTGTATCATATATTGCTCTACAAAGGGAGGAAATGTCCTCCTACAAAACGGGAGGAAATTTCCTCCCCTAGGAAGGGAGGAAAGTTGCCACCTATATTTGCTCGTGGACAAAACGTTCCTCCCCTAAGGAGGGAGGAAAATTGCCACCGTTTTTCGCCCAATGGAGGAAACTTTCTCCCCTCGTGTAATTCATATAGCTTCCACCAGATGGCGCTCAAAAGAGAAAAAGAAATTTCCGGTGAAGTGCCAATTTGTTTTCCAATGTCACAAACCCGAAAACCGCTACCCTTGACCGCTACATGGTAAATACACATACGACACTGAACACACGGAATACACGAAACAGAAGTAAGCACCCCAACAGCAAAAACGCAGCGACACCGCACCCCCACCCCTCTCTAAGTACGCAATGTTCGCACTCTCTCTATATATGGCAGTCTTATTTTTGAATCCGATTTGGCCGGTGACTGCCATCATTTGTCGCATAAAGACGGAGAGAGGGAGCAAATATTACTCGTACTTCATACATTATTTCAATTGTCTCTTGGAATGGCCCCCATCTCTTGATTCAACACCCTGATCAAAGCAAATGTAGATCATTAGGCTAATTAACTAAAATTTAATGATTATTTTTTTAATAAGTTCGAAGAATCATTTTGGCAACGCAGTGTTGAAATGAAGTACACCGGTGCTGAAATTTACCACCGAGGTATTGCTTGATTGGAGTGTTCAGCCAGTGTAATCTATTTTAGGTTTTGGCGGGGGAATAATTAATTTTAATTGTTGCACAAGAATTTCAATGAATTTTTTTAAAAAAAAGTATTACTGGTTTAAACAAGACTCTTTGCAAGAGCAGAGGACATATCTTGGGTCATGCTTTGTCACCCGTATTGGAGAAATTTAATATTGTTTTAATTTTCTAACCTGGAGCGTTTTTCCCATAAAAAGTAAGTGCCCTGAGCGATAAGGACCCACGAACCATGACTTTGTTATCGCAACCGCTTGAAAACATCTCGTTGCCCAAGTCAGAAAGTTAAAAAGCCCGTGTTGAGAGTTTTAGATCGTTCAGTCACTTCCGTAACTCTATAAGCAATCCGTTATGGGTATGGCCTCTGCTATATACCGTAGCGGAGCCGTGTTTTTATGTTTTAGAGAACGTTTGCAACCCGTTGCAGAATTTAGCGTTAGGAGAGCTAACACAATGCAACTATTTCGGACACTAAAGCTAAAATAAAAGGTTGTACAGCAATTGTTAGTAATATTCTATTCATGTCGCTATCTAAATAGAACGATAATTTATTATCGAGTAAGCTTATGTTCATTCTTGCTTCCTTTAAAATGTACGTTCAGTACATTTGTGATGGTTAGACTTGAGATCCACGTTCTTGACGCCGTGTCGGCTTGGTCGTGTACTACAGCCCGCCAGCGCGCGTTTCGCGACACGAGAGAAACCGCGCGATAAGGGATTAAGTCGGCCGCATACAAGAAAACAAAAGTGCGACGGAATTATTTCTTCACTTTACTTTTTTTCTTTTGTTGCGAGTGCGTTATTTGATATGTAGCACACAGTAACAGGAGATGCCGCACAAACTAAAAAAGCGGCGGTGAACCGTTCGCTGTGGTGAATCATCCGTTCCTCCAAGACCGCGGATCCGGCCTCCCTCCCCCCCTCCGCCCCGCAACGAGAATGGAATGTCTGTACTGGGTGATTTCAGATAAGATCGACCAAAGGATGGCTAGTCGACATTTTCAAATCAACTGATGTTTTTATATGTTATTGTCTATAGTCAGTTACAGGTTAAGAAGGTAGCGGCAAATGCCCCTCAAAGGGAATCAGATATCCCTCCGCCACCTTTGCATCCAATAGCGTCCCACCGTTTCCGTGACGTCGCGGACAACGCGCGAGGAGGGTCTTGCCTTTCTGTACATATTTGCTTTATCTTTCGACTTTGACTTAGCATTGTGGAAGCCACGAGAGGGAGATTAGAGTTTTCCCCCACCGACGGAAACAAATACGACTTTCGGGGATTAGCTTCCCCCCCGATGGATACAAAGGCTGCTTTCAGGGGCTCGGTTCCCTCTCCGATGAATACAAAGGTCGCTTTCTTAAAAAGTGGGATCGGAGACAAGTGGGAATCCATTGAAGCGGAACAAGGAGCGTTTCCAGTGAACTCTTCTTTCGACTGCGGAGAGATTTGAAACGGGCGCACCACACTTGTGGGAGGAGCCTCTCCTACCTTCTTGACTTGTAACCGACTATAGTGTCTGGTATGAACGAATCCAAACTTAGTTTTGACTAGAAAAATTACTTGGGGACAGGAAAAATCGTAAGGCATGAGGTGGTGGACAGTTGCATTAACGCGCACTGATGGAGGGGGCCCGTTTGAGAGTGAATAACTAAAGCGATAACATTAGGAGAACTCTAATACGTTTTAGGCGCAAACTATGGGTATAGCTTGCTTGTAATATAAAGTAATTATATTTATTTAAAATTTATTTATTTTTCTACAAATTGACAAACATGCCTGCTCGAACGACAAATGGCAAACTTTGGAGGTCTGTATCTCATGAAATAATTTAATCATTATGATATAATTTGCAGATATTATTCTACTAATATATAGCTAATATTTAAAAAATAACTAAGGTATCTGTGTGATACAATAGTTAGGATATATTTAGTCAAACATGGAAAAAAAATCAAACAAAGAAAAATTCCGATGCGAATAAAAAAAAAACACCACCCTCGATTTTTTTAAAATTTAGGTATCCTGTTATACTCTATTTCGGCATTCATTTCCATAAAAAACATGTTGCATCATTTTATTGAGAAAGAAGATACAACTCCCCAAACTAGGGCCCTTTTTCAAAGCCTACACTTAGCAGTGTTTTATACA